AGTTAATTTTACGTTTTCTAAATTTTCTCTGACCGAAATTCTCTTTCACGTGACTTAACTTTTATTCTGTTTTCGCTCGTCTGGTCGCAGTTATTTATATGTCTATCACTTAGGCTTTCTAGACACCTCTATAGCCTCCATATCAATGAATTACAAACACAAAATAAATTAATAATATTACTTACACTAAACAGTCTTTTATATCTGACAATCACTAAAAACTTTTAACACGAGTGTTTTATTTTTCAATTGACAGCAATTGACTAGGTTTGTTATTTGTTTTTAGATAAAAAAAACACATCAAACTTATTATGCATGACAAATTTAATTGGACACAAGACTATAGATATACGAGTTAAATTATCACTAGTCTTAGCTTACATGTGCTAATTTGGTCTTTCGGCATGATTATATCTATATTGTTGCGTCATCGAGGTCACGTGACTGGTGTGGCGCCCTCTAGTTTCTAGAACTGTCTTGTTCTTTCAGGAATGCTCTAGTATTTGCTAGATAGGGTAGGCTGGTATATAAAAGAGGGGAATGTAATGTGTGTGTAGACAGTGAGTAATTGATCTGCAGTCAGAAGTATTATTGAGCACGTTCGTTGTTATAGCGTTTGTTTAGCGCGATTGTTGAAGTTGAGTGTATCGGTAAAGTTATATTCGGAAAGAATAAACCAGTTTTATTAAGTAAAGACCTGTGTCGTTAAAATTTCGTCGGAACGAAGTTACGGAAAGTTAATTAACAAACGGAGACGTAACAATATATTGATGTTAACGTAGAAATTATAAATATAATAGATTTGTTTTCTAGTACAAAGCTACACAGTAGGCCATTGGTGCTCTTTCCACTGCGGGAAACTGAACCTGGAGTTAAGCATTGAAAGTTTGTGAATTTACTGCTGACCAACTCATGGGACATAAGTATTAATTCCTCTATGAGTAGACTTTATAACAATGTAGACAGTATAATAAGTTCATATACTGATAGAAAATAGGTATATTTATGGGTTTTTTTAAGTCTATCTTAAAATAGTAGTAGTACTTTTACTGCCCTATTTATTGACAATTGTCCAACTAAAGGATGCCAATTAGGACAAATAATATTTAAACTTTAACACCGAATTAGAAATAAGTTTACACATACCAAAGGTATGGTTAATGTGTAGTTAGATGTTAGAATTAATAGCCTGGAGCCCAGAAATTTTATCCTAAAAGTAGTTGCAAAAGAAATAATTTACTTTGAGACTGAAAAAGTGAACACTGATAAGTAATATCTACAAGTATATGTTTCCATCCACATATTTTATCATAATATTGATTTATTTCTCACCTATTGACATTTAGTTTTTACCATTTATACAGCTTGAATGTAAGGATTGTTGTCACTGATTAATCTCTCTCCTACTCTTCTTCTTCAGCAACATCTTCTTCAAAGCAATGAGCTGAAGCAGCTCAGATTTGGTACAAGACTTTAGCTGAAACCTCTTTCAAAATGAGAACCCCCATGTGATGTCCAATGTATGGTGAAGAACCTTGTGGAGGCTAGGAAAGATACAGAATCAGCTTCTGCTTTGCATGACAAAGCATTGCAGGGTGAGCTGTCACTAACATCTCTCAAGAACAACGATTGCCTTGCCAAAATCAGCAGGAAGTTGCATGACAGAAAACTGACATTGACTGGTAAATATAGTAAACTGAGGCTTCAGTACATGTTAGAGGTTAACACAATAAAACGTTCCCTGGAAGCAGAGAGAACATGAAACTGGCTTTTGCATTTGGCTGTTGTACAAGAGATGCTGCCATATTTAGCCACTGTTGAACACAACCTTTACACAAAATCTACTTATTTCTACCTGCAACTGATGAACCAACTTGAGAAAAGCCATCCTGATGTTCACAAAAGCTTCAAGGATGGACACAACATTGTTTGATGTAGCAACAGATACTGGGCTGGCCTTTCATCTGACTTAACTATTGAGCAGACTCTGATGTGAAGTGTGAAATCAACTGGGGGATTAACATGTAGAAAAGGAATGATCAAAGTCACAATGTACCAGCTGGCTCCTATTCACGCCAGCATGTGCTGAAATGAACAACATAATGCAAGAAGCCACAGAAACACATCAACGTATGAGTGACTAACACATAGAGATGAGATGCATAAGAACGTAAAATATACCTAAAACATGGTATCTATCCTTTCATACCTCCATGGAAGAACCCATTTGCTGCAGACCCCACCCTCAGAAACATCGTAGCTAGTGTTATTGGTGATGCATCTACAAAGCAAAGGAAGTCGACCTTCAAATAATCCAAAGCATGGAAGATCAGATTGCAGTAGATCTCACCAAGAGGAAAAAAGACCAAGTTATGAAACTTGGAGCAAAAAAAAAGCAGTGAAAGTCAATGGGACATCATATCACTCAACCCACAGCTGCTTCTTTAGCATTTAGTAGCAGTAGCTAATGTGACTTATGAAGACAAGAAGGGGGTCTTCCAATATGAACTTTGCAGTTCCCTATCTTCGCTGTTTGATTCCCAAGATTTTCTTCAGCAACCAAACAAACTATCACCAGATGATAAAATTTGGGAGCTTGTTTAAGATATCGCTCCAGATCAACCATCATCCAATGATGTGCAATTTGTGTTTGATGGAGGCTCCCTACTGCAGTGACTGCAGGCAGCAGGGAAACGTGGAAGCACTTTCCAAAACACCATTGACTCGTATGTCCATTTTGTCAGTGAAAGGTATTCCAATGCAGTTATCATCTTTGATTGGTACATGTCCAGTCCTTCAACAAAGGATATGACCCATCTCAGACGAGGGAGGGGACACCAGCAAACGACAGTGCGTTTTGAGCCTGACATGGTGCTTCAATCCACAAAAGATTCGTTTCTGGCCAACAAGGAGAATAAACAGTGCTTTATTCACGATCTTGGAGATGCTTTGCAAGCATCATCATGTATTGTCATTCATGCCAAGAGTGATGATGATTTTCAGATCGTTATGGAAGTGGTCATTGTAGAGGACACAGATCTTCTGGTGCTGTTGGCACATCACACTGATGTAGCTTCGAAGATACTCTTCTCTTCTCAAACAAACAAGAAAAAAACCCAAAAAGATTAGGAGTATGAAACAGCTGGTCACTACTCTTGAAAATTTACGTCATCTGCTCCTGTTCTTACATGCTTTCATCGGTTGTGACACGACCTCAAGGTCTTTTGGAATCAGAAAGGGCATGAAGCTCAAACAAGTACAGAATAATGCAAACTTTCAAAATCTTACACGTGTCTTCTTTCAGGAGCTGCAGTCTCTTGAACCTGTGCAGTTAGCAGGTGAAAAAGCACTTGTCCTGCTGTACAATGAAAAATTAGAGGAGAGCTTATATGGAATACGCCACTGACTGTTCTGCTCAAAAGTTGTAGTTGGAACGATGTTTGTGCAGGTCCACACTCTTCCGCCGACTTCAGGGCCAGCGAAATTTCATAGCTTAAGAGTATACTTCCAAGTTCAACAGTGAACGGGAAATGGTCTAGAGCCAACACAATGTGGCTGGAAGATGGAGAACAGCATCCTTGTGCTAGCCATGACTGACTTGCCCGCAGCGCCAGCAGGCGTGCTGGAGATGATTCGATGCGTTTGCCGCAAAAACTGTGACACAAAGCGAGTGTCGTGGTATTAGCTGTGCCAATTCTCGTTCCCTGTCTATGGAATAAAACGTACACAAGTAGGCTTTTCACTGATTCATAAGTTCATATTAGGTTCTGCTATGCACAAGGGCTACACAATAATTTCCACATTGAAGTTTGTATTCCTAGTTCAAACAAGGATGTATCTCTTTTTTTTTCTTTGAAGCTCTTTCAAACGAGGGATTATACTTGTTGTGACAGTGTGCATGGTGACTATTGACAAATGACGTTATAAAAGTTAGTATTACATAATCACCGCTCCATAAATTTGTAACATTATCAGTTAATTCTGTCATTTCTTTGCCAATCAAAAAAACATTGTCAAGGCTTTTTCAATGAGATACTATATGATGGAGTTTACAGTGGAAACAGCAAGTTGGTGGAATTGTTTACCCGTGAGTCATCAAAAATCAATATTTCAAGATTATGCTTATGTTTGTTTGTAATTAAGCACAAAGCTACACAATGGGATATCTGTGCTCTGCTCACCACGGGTATCGAAACCCGGATTCTAGCGTTGTAAGTCCGCAGACATACCGCTGTGCCACTGGGGGGCCAATATTATGCAATGTCACAGAAAGGTATAACTCTCGTCAAAGTTAAAGGGGTTCATATGAATTTTAAAACAGCAGACAGAAATTATATAGCAATTTGTTTTGGGTCATGGTACATCTTGGCATATGGTCACCAGGCTATAACGCACTACCCTAAATAAATACAGATAGAAATAAGTCCAGACAATAAAATTGATAATAAACGTCGGTCGTTTTTGTGTAGCATACTGAAATGGTATAGCAAATTTGCAAAGACTTGAAGGGGCCTTTATTCTAAGAACTAAACTAATCCTTCAGAGAATAACCCCTCCTTTTTAATCTAGTACAGAATATAAACCAAAAACTGATTTGATGGCATTTTAGCCAGGCAGTTTATGTTTAAAGAAATTAAATGTTTATTTGAAAACAGTCATGAATGAAAAACAGGAAAAGTTATTGTTAAAACGAGACTTTTGTCTGTTTATTACCATTTACATTTCAATATTTAATAATAAGTAATATAAAATACATTTATAAAAAACAGGAAATAAAATTCTTTAAACAGACTGTCTGTTTTCAGGACCATATCAAAATTCATTTAAAGCAATCAAAAACAGGTTAAATTCTAATTATAGAAAAACATTTATATTTCATTCCTTCCGTTAAAACTAAATTGTTATTGATCATACATAAAATATGTAAACTAATGGCAGATACTTAGTGAAATATTAGTAATAAAGATGACCTTCGCGTAATAGTTTGGGTTCAGCTTGGAGAAAAGGTGCTGAGAGGAATTATGGGATGGTAATGGAGGGCGCGTGATTTTGAAGACATACAAGTATGCCTAATCAGATACCTGGTAAAAATAATTGTTTCTAAGCGTATTTTTATGTAGTATAGCGCATTATTACCGATCTTATATAATTATATGCTTTTATAAATATACGCTACTAAAATTCTAGGGATCTGGTGTTTTACAGGTGTTGTATCGGGTACTAGTACCACCCCTTGCTTGAGCCTGAGCAATGGGAAATTTGGGCCCCGCTGTATAAATAACTATGAAAAGCCAGCTGGAATTGTATGGAGGGTGTGGTTATTTTTATAGTTTATATTCCACTGCTTTTTCAGTATGCAATCGTAATGTATTCCATAGTTAATATCTAACTTAGCTGGTACAAACTGTCTATTTTTAAACAGACATAAAATTTTTATTTTATATTTAAGAAGACAAAATTACATGATTATTATAGTGCGTATTACCCTGTTTACCAAATTGCAATGGCGCGTCATTCAACTATTTCAAGGATTGCGCATGAACGTGGCAGTTTTTTGTAAATTAAGATTCTTACTCATGTTACGAAGATGCAGTTATTTTTATTCTACTTGCAGAAGTTAAATGCATAACAAATCTCTGAGAGGTAATATGTGATGTAACGTAGTTTAAATTAGTTTTGCAAAGTTAGGCTTGGATTGTATAATATCTCATTATACTTATAGTTTTACTTAGAACTTGGAGAACATGAGAAAGTAAGTTGAAGGCTATTTGGTCATTCAAGGTCACCTCTTTACCCATCACAATAATGAAGCAAAACATCAAACCAAATTAAATGTAATATTTTACATCTATATACCTACCTTGATATCTAATAAAGGTGTGAAAGAAATGTGTGCAGAGAATGACCACTAGATCACTAGGCAAATCATTGCACATAACTAGTCTGTAGGATAACTCAGAAAACCTAAGTTTTAATTTGTGCCTAGTAACATTATTTAATAGCAATAAATATATGTAATATAATATGAAGTCAAGAGAGTTTTTTTTTCCTCTAGGCCTAGCTTTGAAGTTTTGTAAACAAAAATATGAAGCTTTAAACACAATGAAATAAATAACTATAAAGTGTGATAGAATGTTTTATTTTATAGTTATCTTTCCAATTTTTTTTTAATGGTATTGGAATTTTTTTCTCCAAAATAAAAGTTTTAAGAGGACCCTGATATTGTTAATAAGCAGATACGTTTTGAATATTAAAATGTATACTTGAGTTTAGTTATATCTGCTTCTGTATACAACTCGTTCTTCATCACATGACATAATAACATTCTGGATAACAGTTCCTTATTGTAGTTAAACTTAATTTTTTGATTTGCTCAAAACTTATTGAGCTATATAATGCTAAGAATAATTAGGTCCCTTGCTTGTTATAACGTGATATTAGGATCCTCGAACTTCTTGGTTTAATCTGGTTTATAAGGTTTGCTGATATCAAGGCAATTGACAGTGTTAATGCTAAAATAATGTATTTGAAAACATTTGCAAGCTGAATAAAGTACACTCTGGAACTTTCAAAGTGTACTATAATATGGATAAATGTAAACATTATTAACTGTGGATTGAAGTAATTTGGAATATTGTCTACAATTCTGGTTTCTTTAATCATTTAAGAAAGGTTATTGACTTGTTGAAAAGGGTTCAGAGAGAGGTTACTAGGATAATTCTGGAGTTATCTTATAGGGGTAGGTTAATATCTTTTAACTTGTTTTTCTCTTGTGAAAAGTACAGTAAGAGGTAATCTAACAAGGGAATTGGTGTATAGAATAATATAACCTACAGACACCAAAGGACCATTTGTTCCTTCAAGGCTGTCTTTTCACACTCATCCTTGGAAGAAGTAAAAATTTATACCCACCCTTTACTTGTAATAAAGTCATCAGTTCCCTTTTAAACTCCACTATTGCCAATTGCAACTAATTCTATAAAAATAGAAGAATTAGTTATTTCTCTAAAACCAAATATGGGTTTAATTTTATTTATTCTGGGAGTGGTTATGCAAAGACAGCCTTGAAGACCAAATGGTCTTTTGTTGCCCATGTCTTATAAACTGTATGTGTCAAAAAAATATGGCGTGTATGTGGAAAAAATTGTACATGTGGGCATTAGTACTTAAAGCCTTTAAGTGGCATTTTTGGCTAGTAAAATTGGACTAGTGGAGTCCTTTGGAGTTATGCTCATTTTTTTGTCGAATTTGATTGGTAATACTAAGATGCTAGTAAGTGTTGATTCAGTTGAAAGTGTCTAATTCATAGGAACTGTAGCAGACTCGGTAATGGAGCCACAATATCAAAAGTAGTTTCAGTATTGAGAATGGAATCTTAGAAAACAGTTATTTCTTGGGTGATAAGAGCATAGATGTTTTGAAAAATGAAAATAGGATTTAAGTGTGATTGGGCCCGGCATGGCCAGGTGGTTAGGGAGCTCGACTCGCAATTTGCGGGTCACAAGTTCAAATCCCCGTCACACCAAACATGCTCGCCCTTTCAGCTGTGGGGGAGTTATAATGGGATGGTCAATCCCACTATTCGTTGTTAAAAGAGTAGCCCAAGAGTTGGCGTTGGGTGGTGATGACTTGCTGCCTTCACTCTAGTCTTACGCTGCTAAATTAAGGAAGGCTAGTGCAGATAGCCTTTGTGTAGCTTTGCGCAAAATTAAAAAACAAACAATTAAGTGTGATTGTTAAAATTCTAAAGCTGTTGTAATTCCAGTAATGTGTCAGGAGCTCTCTTGTTCATTTGAAACTGTCCCATTAATCTGGTCAGTTTATCTTTTCACTGAAATTTACTGTTGATGGCTTATTTAATCATTGTTTGCTGTTGAAAAATTTTTTCCTTGTCTGATATTAAGAAGAAGTAAATCAGTTTCTCAGCAAATTCTATCTTTCAAGCTTCAGAATAGTTTTTAACTGGTTTATAACTCCTCAGATCTGCCGCTTCTAACAGCCTGAATTCTGACTATCATTATAAGAAGAAAATTTTCTTAAAGCATGTGTTTCATCTGTAAGTTTTACATAAGTCTAATTTTTGGAATGACAAATCTTTCAGTTGGTTTCCATCTGCAGTAAATCTAATGTCAAAAATAATAAGTTAAGAAAATATATTCTGAAGAGTTTAAATGATATTAGAAAAAACATTCCAGATTTAATCACAAATGTTTCATATGCAAGTGCAGAACATTGGAATTGGAGTAATTTACTTTTGTAAAAGTTTTTGCTTAACACAAAGGCTTGTTTGTTCTTTTAGTTTATTAAAATTTACTAAAAATGTTTTAATGGACATTTTATTTAAGATGGATACCTAAAATCTCATTTTAATATAAGACAAAAATTGTTAAGAACTTAAATATAATTCAGAATTTGCTTTATTCCTCTTCTTTCTGTGTGGAAAATTAAATAAACTTTGGGTAAATTATTTTTGAAGTAGCTAAATATGATTTGACACATGGGGTAGTGTTCATTGTTCTTGTGCTTAGTTGTGTGATGCCATCTATAATAGTGACTGTTAGTTGTTGCAATGCAGTTCGTCTAGTACATGTTCTACATTTTGTGTTAGTACATGCAATAAGCATATTAGCAGGCTTAAGTTTTTTGAGGCAAAAATATAGAATGTAATCATCTTTCCTTGTGATGATGCATTTAATTTGAGAAATTAATGTGATCTAAAAGGAAAAATTAAGATGTCCAAATTCATAAAGCCTATCTTTGTAGCTTAAACAAATTAAATGAATTGTTTTAGTAGTTCATTTATAACTTTTCCAGGGCAAAGGGACCCAAACAGAACACACTACTTAAAATAAGGCCTCATTATTGTTTATACAGTGTTACAGTGACCTTGTTCTCAAATTACAATACTTGAGTAGAACCCTATTTTTATTTTCCCCACAGCTAAATACATAAGCAGAAGGCTTAAGTGTTCTATCAATGGTTACACCTAATTTTTTTTATTTGAAAGACATACTTAGCAGTTACAGAACAGTTGAGAGTTGTTGATATGGGCAACCTGCTAGGTTGTCCATATCAAAGACTTTTTACATAAATTCTTCTTCTTTTTTACCTCAACATCAATGTTTCTTTCACCCAAGAAGTAAATTGTGACATGTCCTATTTTGCAAATTTCCAGACCAGGGTGCATAAAGCATGCCCATTGATGGGGTTGCACTGTTATCATACTTTTTTTTAACAAGTATATGGATATGAAAGGCTAAATTTAATTTGAATTTGGTGTTTTGGTTATTTTTTAAAATGTTTTTATGTTTTGAATTACCACTATAGAATTTGTTTGAACTTTGTCTTGAGCATTGAATGAAATCATAGATGAAAAAATTTTCCTGCTAGGAGTCTGTTGCTTTACAGGACTATGGCTTGGTTCTTCACTGTGAAACCACTACTGAGTAATTAGTTTATATGAGGTAGGAAAGGTCGTTGCACTGTAACAACTGTTGTCATCAAATAAACTGTCTTGATTTGATTAAGCAAATTGCATTTGTAGAAATATGAAAATCTTGTAGAGAGCCTTTTTGATCACACAGTTTTGAAAAGATGTGGCTACAGCTTAAAATAATAACCTGTGTTGGATGGTTACATTTGATTTATGCATTTGGAAATTGAATTCCAAGGTTTCATAGGGAGTTGTAGTCTTTTTGTTTTCACTTTGTTGAGTATAAACATCTTTAAGAATTGTGTTCTCATGTTCAAGATGCCCCTATGTCTTTATTTTTGATATAATATCAGAAACCTTCAAAACTGGCTCAGCAACCAGCATTTTTTTCGATCTTCAAAGAGGAGTGAATAAAATATCATGCTTCTTTCACCAAAAAAAGAAGTTGGTATCCTCATTTGATGTGATGGGAGATAGTGTATCCAGCTAAACACTTTGTAGTGAATGAATTGTATGAATTGGCTATGTAATGTTAAAACTTTTAAAACACAAGTCTGTTTTTGGTGCTGCAAATAATTGTTTCAATATTTTGTTCAGTTGGAAATATAAATCAGTATTTAATGCAGTATTTTAATCACACTTGATTGGTAC